ATATTGGTTCTACAATTCCGATTGAGAGTCCGGGATTTATATAATGATTGTCTGAATCGAGTATTTCAATTAGATTGATTAAACATGCTATTACTAAATGAGCGGTGTTATGTAATATATGGATGTCCATTACTCCCCGGTCCATATGTATTGTTAGGGTTAAGCCCATTAGCTAGTGTAGCCCTAGAAGTGATAACCTTGACTCCATGCATAACACGTTATCAACACTGCTCTAGAAGAAAATAAAATTTCCTTCGGTTTTCACAAAAATAGGATCGCACATCATGAACGCTTTTCCTTCGTCGTGGCCATCTTCCTTCATGACCATCTTCTTTGTTAATTTCCTTCCGCCCGCCTAGAAGGGTGAACGCAAAAGCTCTTTCCTATCCTAGTTTGTGGCCACCTCGCTCTAGCAAATCGCCGACCCAGATACGTAAAGAATCTGCCGGTAGACAAATTGATGGCTCTCCCCCTCCTGCCGCAATCTTTTCTAGGGTTTTCAAGTTGACGCCCTTGGCTTCCTCAGCAGGCCGCTGACCTCGGCGATAAGGCTCTTGAGTCTTGACACACAACATAGATCTTCTTGGATAGGAAGGCAATGCCAGGACTGCGATGGAAGTTATCATATTGGCGACGTTGCAATTTTGCGAACATGAGAGTCAAAATCAGTCCATTACCCCATCCATCGTGCATCAGATAGCTGCTGGAAGTGTACGAAGAAGGTTGAGGTGATGGAGTTCAATTTTATTGATACTGTTGTTGCTTGGAGATCACAAGAAGAGAACTCTGTGGCGATATATCTATGAAGAAGAGCAACAGGGCATGGAGGCTCTCATTAAACAGATTTGATTTCTTCGTTCCTTGTCTTTTCTCTTCTAATTCCTTTATCCACTATTGTGATTTTCTTATTGGCGTTATCTCCTTTACTACATTCCTACACTACTAGAAATTGATGGAAGCAGGGACTAGAAATTGAATTGTTTCATGTTTGGGAGAGAAGGTGTCTGAATTATCACCCTCAATTCCTCAAATTAGTTGTCATCAAACCCAGCTTCTATGTTCCAGAACCAGTGCCTGTCATCCGGTCTTCTAGCCAAATGTGACACTGGGTCGATTTCGTCCGTTACATGTGTTTCGGTTTGCACGTAAAGATTTTATGTGCAATAATGTCTTCTCACTCCAGGTATTACAATTCTAGCTTTTTATATCAAATCAAATGATTGATAATTATTTAGATGTTTTAACGATTTATCATTAACAAATTATCCTAAAGAAATTAAAATAAAACATAAATGATCTTATTCATACGAGTTATTATGAATTGGATTTATCTGCATTCATGTATTTAAATAAGAAATTGCTATGGGATTTATCTGAAGTTCCGAAACTAATCAGAAATTTCTAGAGATCACATAATATAATGTCTCGACATGAATTTTTGTATATGCATATCTAAATAGACAAAATACTATATGGGTGTTTCATACTAATATATCCTATTTGCATGCTATATATGTTTATATGTTAGTATAAAGGGTACGTTAATCGATCACACTTTTGTTCACTCATTTAAGTGAGAAAATCATCATGCTACTATGTATGCATATGCCTGTGAATTAGTGATTATCTAAACGATCATTTTTGTGATCTTGAAATAATATCATTTTGGCATAGCACTGAAAAGCCGTAAAATCATATGAAGGAAAAGAATAAACGTTTTAGGAATTTGATTTGTCATATATGAATAGGACAGTGAAGAAGTGGGTTTGGCCGAAAGGCTCAAGCAATAAGGAGATTAAATTTTTATTATTATTTAATGACATTTATTACTAGTCAATTTGAAACGTATAATTCAAGCATATTTATTAGTCAATAACGGTTAAAGAATGACCTTTATTGCTCAAATAATGCAATAAATTGAATTTAATTGGCATAGATATGAATCCTTAATATCATTTATGATATTTTGAATCCAATTATACTATTTAAATCATATGTTTGTAACATGGATTGGCTTCTAAGGTAACATATATTTTCACCATATATTCAAAAATCTTTTAATAGTTCATACTCATAATATGATCTATTTATGAGATAATAAAAGTACATATATGTTTATGTATATGGTAAATTTGTTAAGTAAATGTGCAATTTATGTGATATTTTATACTACATATATTGATAAATATAAATATTTCTATTGTTTTAAATATCATCTAAGAGATAAATCATTTCTAGCTGGCGCAATAGTAGCATTCTTAAGTTGTTTTTGGAATTTCTTGTTTAATGAGCTTTGAGTAGCCTTCATTGCCTTGATTATGTATCATAGATATCTTTATAAATTCGTTAACATTTCTTTGTCTTTCTAATGCTTATTTACATTATTATAAATTAATCCATGCTACTTTGAGCTAATGTAAGCATTAAGAAAAATGCATTGGAGGTTACAGGTACGTGCCACATCTCTATCAGAAATATGGTCATTTTTGGTACATAATATGATTACATTTATATGAGAAACTTGATTGTTTCAATATTAATTGATAAGTTAATATGACTCATATAACTTCAATGTTGTATAAAACATTCAAGGAAGTGATATACTTTAATAAAATGCATGATTAGCAAACATGATATAGATTTTAACTATATTTGAATTATAGTTAAATATTGCTATATATATATATATATATATATATATATATATATATATATATATATATATATATATATATATATATATATATATATATATATATATATATATGGATACGCAATTAATGCCTAGTAAATTACAAGTTATTGTAATTATGTAGAATGATTTTCTCAATTTAATCTAATTGAGAGCGGAAGAAAACAAACAAAATAACAGAATTGAACTATGAAATTATATCATATGCGCCAGAAGTCACTATAAGAGCATAGATTTTGCATATAATTTGAGGGTTGCACTTGTCTTAAATTATTGAAATAAATATTTTTATTGATTTTTGAACAATAGAAGTATAACCATGATTGTATATACGCGCTGCACTCTTTTTTCCTTGATCAAAGTTTTATCCCACTAGGTTTTCCTCAGCAAGGTTTTTAACGAGGCGGCACCACCAACACATATAAAGAAAATAATGTATATTTTTCTTGTAATGTATTTTATTTAGCAATGTACATCCAAGGGGGAGTGTTATGTAATATATGGATGTCCATTACTCCCCGGTCCATATGTATTGTTAGGGTTAAGCCCATTAGCTAGTGTAGCCCTAATTCCTCCTGTATATATATGTGTGTTGTGTGCTAATGAAGTGATAACCTTGACTCCATGCATAACAAGCGGTAGTTTTAGCATGTTACTCCGTAGTTTATTGGTTTTGTATTTTCCGTGTACAATGGAGTACTACGTAGTTAATACGGAGTACATACGGATGGACCAACTATCCAATCTTTTGCAGAGTGGATTTTGAAGATTGGTGATGGAGCTTTTGCTGAAAATCAAGACGGAGAATCACTAATTGAAATACCAGACGATATGATTGCTCCAATGACGTCTGATCCTGTTGAATCTATAGTTCAAGCTATTTATCCAGATTTCTTAACTCAGGGTGATCCGATTAATTATCTTTATTCCAGGGCTATTCTTGCTCCAACCATAGGTGAGGTTGATAAGGCCAACGATTACATGTTGAGCCAGATAGATTCAGAGTTAAAGACATACCTAAGCTCAGATTCAGTTTCTTCATCCGACTCGGATAGTAATGATCTCTTGCATGAGATACATTCTCCTGAATTTCTTAATAGCATCAAATGTTCTGGCTTGCCGAGTCATGAGCTCAAGCTGAAAGTTGGAGTTCCTGTGATGCTTATGAGGAATATCGATCATTCATCTGGATTGTGCAACGACACACGACTTCTGGTCACTAAACTTGGAACTCATATTATTGAGGCTCAGATGATGCACGGAGAAAATGCCGGCGAAAAATTTCTTATTCCCCGCCTTACTTTGACACCATTGGACATTAGTCTCCCGTTCACTTTTCAGCGTAGGCAATTTCCGTTAATGGTTAGCTATGCAATGATCATCAACAAGAGCCAGGGAAAGTCATTGGAAAAGGTTGGCATCTTCCTCCGTCGTCCTGTTTTTACGCATGGACAGTTGTACGTAGCTGTCTCGAGAGTAACAAGTCCGTCTGAGTTAAAGTTTGTTATATGTGACGAAGAAGGGAAACCAAAGAAGTCAACGTTGAATGTAGTATACAAAGAAGTTTATACTAATTTGTAGTTCCCTTGCTTTACATGCATACATCCATACTCATTGCTAGCATATCACTTCATGATTTGTACTTAACTTTGAGCATTATTTTTTAATGTCGTATTAAATATGAATACTTATTTTATTTTATTGTTTAATGTGATTAGTTTGTTTTAGTTTTTAATTTTATGTTTTGAGTTAGGTTAATTGACTATGAAATTCTTTGAGTTTATATTTGGTTGATCCAAACATCTCACTACCGTGCGTAGCACAGGTGAAATCACTAGTTTTACTGAAAAATACGTAGTATTATAACAACTACATTTTATAAAATAAACTAAACAATAAAAATAAACAGTTTCCGATCATGAACAACTTAATTGCTACACCGTACAATGTAATTAAAGAATTATTACTGTTCAATGTTGTGACTTATTTCACCGGCGTTGAGACAAAATAAGGTGAATATATAATTCCATGAAGTATACATTTGTATACGTAATACTTTATTTTCTGGGGCATAAATCGAAACAATCCAATTTATTGGGACTTGGGAGCATTTACTTTCGGAAGGAATCCTTTTTAATAGAGTTACTCATTAAGGTCTGGTAAAAAGTAAAAAAAAATAAAGTCACAAACGACATTAAAACACGCCGTTGCCGGGGATCGAACCCGGGTCACCCGCGTGACAGGCGGGAATACTCACCACTATACTACAACGACTGGTTAATACTACATATTTGTTTTTGTAATAGAACAAAAACCATTAACGGATAAACAAGTTGACTAGTTTCAGGTTTTTTCCCGGCATTGTCGTCTCTGGGTTTCGGCCGTCAATAAACTCACTCTTTGACTTCTTCTTCTTCCACCTTACCTCTTACCTCCCTTCTCCACACTCAACTAATCATTGCTCATCCTACTCAGAAACACAATCCAATTCTCCTCTACCCATATTATATTCTAGCTAGAATCAACAGATGGGCAATCTGTTAAGCTGCAAACCAGGAGAAGAGAGCACAAATCATCCTCCGGCGAAAGATTCGCCGGCGCCGGATTCATTCGACATTTCAGCGGATTTAAGGTCCTACCTGTCGGCATGCGAGACGGATCCGGTCTTCAGAGCCTTCGACTCGACCCTTCAAGACCGCACTACCAGAGCCATCCACTCCGTCGCGGTCAACCTCGACCGCCGGACTCTCTCTCTCGACTCCCTCCGGGAAGTCACCGCCTGCTTCCAAGATATGAATTACCAAGTGGTCAATTTCATACTCGAAAGCAAAAGGGATGTATGGAAGGATCCGGACCTCTTAGATCTCGTCAAAGAGTATCTCGATAATAGCCGCCACGTCATGAACTTCTGCACCGCCCTGGAATCATGCCTCCACCGTGTCCATTACAGCCACTCCATTCTCAAATTCGCTCTCCAGAAGTTCGAGGAAGAGACGGCCCAGATCCGTGATCCTGGGTGTGACCCGACCCAGATTTACTCCAAGACTCTGGAGCAGCTGAAATTGTTCAAAGATGCAGGTAATATAAAGATTCTTCAAAATTTCAATAAGACCAGCAGAGGGTATCAAATTTGTAGATTCCATATGTGTGATATTCTAACCATTTGTTGGATATGAAAGCTCACTATGATCTTTATGTTTTATAACCTTTTTTGTTTCTAAATTGATGATCAATGTGCAATTGCTCCACAGGTAGCCCTTTCACTGATAAATTCTTCTCACTATTCCGAGTAATTTACGAGAAGCAAGAATCGATGTTGAAGAAATTGAAAGAGAAGAAGAAGAGGCTCGATAAGAAATTGCGGAGGAGGAAGTGTTGGAGGAGAATTTCGAATGCCATATTCGCGACGATATTTGTTTCGGCCATTATTTGCTCCATTGTTGCAGCCGCAGTGACAGCACCGCCAGTTGTGGCGGCATTGGCTGCAGCATCCTCAGTCCCGCTAGGGAGCGTGGGGAAATGGATAAACAATTTGTGGAAGAAGTACGAGAGCGAAGTGAAGCGTGAAAGGGACATGGTGGGCGAAATGGGAGCGTGGAGCGAGTATGTTGTGATTCAGGACTTGCAAAACATCAACGCGTTGGTCGATAAATTCGAGATTGAGATTGAGGGCTTGTTGTTCACTGCTGATTTCGCGATGATGCAAACGGATGGAATCGAGGTGGCAATGGAGGACATCAGGAAGAATGTGGATGGATTCATGGAAACGGCGGGTTTTTTGAATGTGCACGCCGACGAGTGCCGGAAGCATATAAGGATGGCTCGAGCTGTTATATTGCAAAAGATCAATGAGCAACCTTCAGGTAGCTCCGGTGGCTCATCAGGCAGTAGTTTGTTCTTCGGCTAACTCTCTCTGTTGGTCTGTTAATAAGAATTCAGCATATTCATATTCATAATGTGGTGAACTGTTGTTTTCACGATGGTTCAACAGCAATTTATAATGGTGGTTTCCCTTCATCCTCCTCCTATTTCGTGCTTAAGGTCGTATTTATGTTAACTGTTAAGTTACTAATACTGCATACTCACCCCATACCAAAATACAAGTTTATATGTACGGTTATAGATGATTCATATGATGAAATTTTATCTTTATAATCGAACTTAGCATTTAACTACGTAATATTCAGTTAAACTCGTACGAGATTACTGGCAATCAACCCAAGTCCCTAACGAAACTTGGTTAGACAGCACAAATTTCAGTTAAAAAACGACATACGAATTTCAGCTTGACTAGACAACGCTTTGCATGAATAGAACTGCACAAAAACGGATGGCCCGTCTACACAAATGATCGGGCTTGGACACAAGGATGGATTTAAGGGGGTGCGGGGGCGACCGTCTCTTGGACTTTCAAATTTTTTTACTGTATATGTAATGTTTTTGTAAAATTTTGATACTTTAATTAGATTCGTCTCCCTTAACTTTTTTTTGAACATTACCCTCCTTAACTTTTAGTTTTTTAAATTAATATGTAGTCTTACATAATGTAATACCTAATTGGAGATTTAAAAGAAAGAACATTTAAAATAATTTACATAAATTAAATAAACAATAGAACAACTCATTATTTAAGATTTAGGATACTTATTATACAAAATTCTTAGTGTTTTAATATTTAATTATCTTTATTAGATAACTAGTAAACAATTTTGAAAAATATATATCAAACGATATTAAATACCAGACACTCTAGCTACAAAGTTTTTAGATCATGTGAAGTGAATCCAAATTATAAATGTTTATTGACATTAAATTACACAATTCTTTTACTTCTTACGTTCTAAAAAGACTTTATTGCATAGATAATAAACCTTAAATATTTTAGCATTAATACAAATATAATATGCACTATATATATGAATTAGCAATATAATATTATTCTAAAAAAATAATATCATACATAATATTGTAATATTAAAAAAACTCTTTGTGACTTATGAACACCCTTTATGGTAGACAAAAATTGCAATTCAAAAATTAATTCTTTATTTCTATAAGACTCATGTAGTTAAACAATGTTGAAGTTATTTTAAAAGTATTGGTGAATGTGTACCTTATAAACTTTTTATATTTAAATAAAATGTTATATATCCTTTTTTATTTTTATATTATTTTCCTTTGATTTGTCATTTCTTACGCTTTAATGTATCAAATACTTTTTCTAGAGAACTCCAATTGTAAAACTAAAGTTATTTTGTCATTGTCTAAACTTAGAATGTAATATAAAGATTAAAATGTCGTCATGTATGTATTAATGATTTTTTTTTGAATAAAAATAGCCGCAGAGCCTTACACTAGTGAAAATTTTGGCCAACTACACTAGCAAAAGAGTAACAACAAGAGAATACAGAAATCGATCCCTTTCAAAAAGTTGGAAGGTGATATTTATACTAAAAAGGCAATACTTGGTGCCCAAGTAAAAAGATGCTAGTCTAATGAGGGGACGCATGTCCAATCTATTCTAACAAACTACCAAACTATGTCGATGGGGTGCAGCCACGTGTAAAGGTGATTGAAGAGATAGTGGGGACATTTGGCTGATTGGAACTGCCCCTAACAAATTGCTACCTGAATGTCCACGTAGTTACACGTGTACGTCCCAGAATATCCTTTCTGCCCTCTGCGAGAGGTGATGTGGCCTCCTCCAGGAGTAGTGATGATGTGGTAGTATCCTTGTGTGATGTCTGTCTCCGTGTATTTGTCTAAGTCCCTAATGTCGTGGTCAGACCTCGAGCTCAATGAGGCCAGTTCTTGGAGGCTCGGGCCCAGTGTTAGGAAATGTGTTCATTGTCTCCGATTCTGTCTTTGAGACCGTTGACTCCTTTGTTTGGCTTCTGTTAACCTCGCGTTGGTGCTTGAGGTCAGAGTTGGTACCGAGCTCGATTCCTTCGAGGTCAGCCTCATAACTTGTCGTGTTTGAGCGGTTCATGAGCTTGGTATTTCCCTGACCTCGGGGGTCGAGGTCGAGGTCGGCTGGCCTTCGGGCCTTAGTGGTTTTGTTGCCTGGCATTTTGTCCTGACCTTGGTGGGTCGGGGTCGGGATCGGTCCCAGTTGTGGACTTAGCACTTTGATGCATTCTAGGAAGGATCCGTGAAGTAAATCACCGGTGATTATGATACCCTTAGGGGTATATGGGAATATACTCCATCATGAGTCCCCCACTCTCTGAAGCGAAAGTAACACTTGAGGTGAGAGAGAGTAATTCTCCAATCTTCAGGGATGGCGCGACCGACGAGGGTGCTGCTCTCCATGGTCACGACAAAGGGGTACCTCATTAAAAACTTCGTTGGCGAAAACCTTGTGGGAAAAAATCCTAACAGAGGAAAGAGAGTATACTCCGCTCTGCCATGAATTCCGGAGAGGAAAGCGACGCCCCACTGTAAGTACATCCGAGCTTGAGCTCCATGTTTTTTATATTCCATACTTGCTTCATGGGTTGGTTGCTACATCCACGGTCCTAACCGTGGGTTGACAGAAAAAATTTGTTTGGCGAAAAAATGTAAAGAATTTAGAGTGTGTTCGTGAAAGGCTTGTTTCTAAGATATACCTGCTTAGCGCTAACCCTGAGGTTGTTGTGTTGTTCTGAGCTCTTTGTAGTAATGATGTCTTGTTTTTTGATTTCTTCCCGAGTCCCCCACTTACCAGTCCCCCACTCTTGTGGACTTGGTAAAATTTGTAAGTGTAGAAGAGTATGAGTTTGAGAGGGACGAGGTAGTTGTCTTTAGTACTTGGTGGACTTAGGAGAATTTTGTGGCGTGTAGTAACGCTGATGTGTACAAATAGGAATCTTTACACATTCCACTTTGCAAGCTATTTGTTTAGTAGCCGTTTTCCGCATTTAATGCGAGACATGGCATTTGAAGTGACTATACGGCGCCATCATTGCGCCTTTTGCACGCCTTTTTGGAGAAACCCTTTAAGTTTTTCGTGCGGTTAGTTTATAGTGCGCCATGTGTAACCTTCCCGTTCGATTTGAGGGGAAGTATAAAAGGTGAAAGCCTTCGTCTTTCTCCTTTGCGCTTTCTTTGCACTCGAGTTTTCAGAGTTTTCGAGCAATCTCATAGGTTTTCATCTCCGGCCAGTGCTTTCCTGCTTCCAGTTTTCTCCGTCAACTTTCCATACCAGGTTAGTCTTCGAGCTCTGCTTTTTGTGTTTGGGGGTCACTTGTTCGCCGGAAATCCCGGAGTATGGGTTTTTCCATCGAAACTGATGTTGTGAGGATTGGGGGGTTTACAGTCCCCCATTGTTTGTGAGCCTGGACCTCTAGACTCGGAATCGTACACCGATGTCGATTCGAGTGTTTGATTTTTGTTTGGGGGTCAGATTTTTGTTCCTTAACCCCAGATTTTGATTTTCTGCATGCGTGTGTTATATTCTGCAGATTTGAAAAATGTCTTCCCGCAGTGCTTCTGCTAACACTGGAGACATGGCCATCAATGATCTTCCTCTTGGGTACGATGATGTTGCCGCCCTGAGGGAGGCCGAGTTGAATGAGGACATTGCAGATGTAACCTCCGCACTTTAGTTTGCGCCGTTGAATGCGCAACAACGGCATAAGGGGGCTGGCAAGAAGCGGTACAAGGATACCCGTGAGTACTTCGTGCTGGATAGCTTCACCGAGTTCGAGGTCCCTTGTTCCCTGTCGGATAGGGAGTGGGAAGAAGCCAGGCGTCTGTGTGGCCCCACTATGGTCATTATGAGGCCAGATGCCGGGGATTTGCCCTCCCCATGCCCCTCGGGATTCTTTGTTGTTTACTATATATGACGCCGTTAGACATGGCTTTCGGTTCCCCCTACACTCATTCTACACCGAATATCTAAACTGGGTCGGGCTGCTGCATTGCCAACTTACCCCCAACAGCTTCTATTACACAGCCGCTTTCATGATGCGTTGCATTCGTCTGAAAGTCGACCCTAGTGTGGACTTATTCCGGAGCCTTTTCAACATTGGACGCAACCCCTCTAAGGGGAATCAGAACTATGCATCGATAGCTCAGGTTGGTGGGTGGAGTGGGTTCGTCAATGCCCCTACCTCGTATCGCGGATGGAAGGGCAAATTCTTTTTTGTGTGCACAGACCGCCGGGTGGTGTCGCCATTTTCCATGAAGACCACTATACTTACCCAAGGGCCAGTGTTTGTCCGGAAGCATAATGCTGATGATTTGGGTGAATATGTCGATGCTGTGAAGAAGTATTTGAAGCCCGGTCCGTATGATATTGGGAAGTTTGTGACCGAAAAGAGGATGAGGGAGGATCTGAAGTGCACTAGCTTTTCACCCATTGCTGTGCTAGGTGATGTGGAGGTCACAACTGTGGTTGCGCCCGTTGTGCATGATGGGGAGGGGGAAAACGCAGTCCAGAATTCTCCTGCTTGTGCTATTGAGGGTTCTATGCCCGGTTTTGGTGTTGTTCCCCCTGGACTCCGAGGAGGGGGAAGGAAAGGAAGTTGCTCCCCGAAGGGAGATGAGCAGGAGGAGGAGACCTCCTCTCCAAAGAAAGTTACTAATGAGCCTGAAGTTTGTGCTGCTACTTCAGGTATAATTTCTTTCCCTTTTTCTGCCTCCTCCCTGTGATCTTTGTCTTCATACGCGGTTGTGTGCTTTGCAACCTTATTCATCGCGATTGTTATTATTCGCAGGTTTCCCTAGTATTTTTGAGCTCCTGGACAAGGTTCAGGGGGCCTGACAAAGAAAAGCAGGCCCTCTGGTGGGGTGAAATAGCCCGAGCCTTCCCCTAGTGGTCCTCATCCTCTTCTGAGGATGATGACGAAGATGTTGCTGGCAGTGCTCATCCAAGAGGTGATGTTTCCCCAAATGAGGTGAAGACCACTGCAAGGGAGGGCGGCGTTGCTAATATGGATATAGGTGCTGCTGATGCCATCCCTCAAGGCCATATGAGCCTGCCGCCAAGATTCCCTCCCCCTAACGAGATGTAGTGATGGTGGGGAGTGAGGATGAGGAAGAGGAGGGCGATCGCAAGACTTTGCAGCAGATGAAGGCACGACTGTTCCATAAGGTGGATGAGGTTCTTCCGGGGGTGAAACCGACCAATGAGGGTGGCGTCCTGTAATACCCGAGATTAATATAAGAGGATT